TTTTTTTTTTTTTTTTTTTTTTTTTTTTTTTCATTTTGTTCAGCAAATAATATTAACCTTAATTAAATACTTCCCATACATGAGAAAGACTACAGAAAGATCCATCCATGACAAGCTCTCCCAGCTCCAATAACTAACGACCAACTCTTATTTCAAATAATTATTTGTAAAACTACCGGCTTTATAAGGACCAAAGATTAATTAGACATGAATCCAATAAAAACTTTTTAATTTATAAAACCATTCAAAATACTCCGAGGAGAGTTAACACCCACGGCTAAAACATGTCGCCTGGAATTAAATAAGTTACACGATATTATGACAGCTATTCTTCTAACCCTTGACTGTTCATTTGAATTATGTTTAGCATAGTGAAAGAAAATGAGTGGCAGCACATTTTTTCTATCAACAGTGCTGGATTTGACCTTTTCGGCAAAATAAATACCAAATTCAAAGACAGACATGTGTTTAGCAAGACCCTGAAACGATAATAGAGGCAGCTGTTTTAGCTCGTTTCATTTTTATTCGTGTTTTACTTTAATTTTTCTTAAAAACATGTTTTTTAATAAGAAGAATTAAGACGCTCCGGTTGCCATGGAAACGGTAAAATAAATATCCAATATTTCAGAATTAAAATCTCGAGTTAAGTGAATTAAGTATGTTAAAAAAACAAGATCGTGAAATAAAACGACAATGAATATATAAAATCGTATTTGGGGTTGGAAACTGAAATGCATCGAAAACGTTTGTCAGATATTTCGTGCCTAACCAGGAATACTGAAGGGATGTAACAAGAATAACTTCTTAAATTGAAGTAAGCTATAAAATTAATGCAATATTTGTGGAATCAGTTCGGCTCCAAGTAATAAGAAGTGGTCACGTCCCAGATTATATTGATGGAATATTGAAGAAAGGAAGTTGATCGTAATGGAATAATGGACCGAAATAATGGAGAGACGTGCCGATGATAATGAACACTTCATTTCTCGAGGCTTTTTCGATTACCGAAATTACGAGCGAAGAATGAATAAAGAGATTTAAGAAAGAACGCTTGAAGGAACGCACAAACGAACGACAGAAACAGGCAGGCAGGTAGGCCTTGGCTCGGCAGAAAGAAAGTATTACGGAAAGAAATATAGAAAATAAAAAATGAATCAATGAAAGAAAGAAAGAGAGGGAGGGATAGATGCACGAATGAAAAATTAAGGAAAGTGCAAAACGTTTTTTCCCAATATGAGAATTATTATCGTCTTTTTGCCAACATCACAAACCAGAAAACCAAAAACATTGCTTATGTCTCTTGCTTGATTCGAGGGTTTTTTTGAGGGTTTTTCTCCGGCTTCTCCAATTTTACTCCCTCCACAAAAGACCCATTAAATTTCCTGTATATACGTGCTTTCACGCTGTTACATGCGCTTTAAATCCCCGGTCTCGTCAAGTTCAAAAGATGCCGGAGCAAAGCCATCCTCACCCCAGCCCCCAGAAAAAACGTCAGTTCCATTTGATGATGATTAGATACTCCAACGAAAAGACGTTGAATTTCTATTACCTCATAATGAACAATCTATCCTAACAGTCCTTCCACGAAAATCTAATTAGTTAGTGTACATCAGTTCAAAATCATTATAATATAAATATTTTTGCCGTTGCACAGACAGATTCGAGAGGTTCATAAATTTCTTTTGGTAATGTTTGCGTGGTATTTGGAATACACTCGAAAAGTAAAAGCACGCTATTTGTTACATGTATTACGAACTCTGATCCTCAACCTTTGAATTCACAGGTCAACTCGACCTGGTTCAAATCATCTTCAGTAAAAATATAATATTTCTG